GTTTCCTCGAATGAAAAGAGATATGAAAGGAAAGCGTTTTGCTGATGTTGCTGAGGTGAAGGAAAAAACGACGGAGGCGCTGTCAAGCATCTCAAAAGATGAATTTAGACAATGTTTTGAAAAATGGAATAAAAGACTAGACAAGTGTATTAGTGTAAGTGGAGAGTACTTTGAAGGGGATTGAAGGTTTGTGCTTAAAATTTGAATAAATAAGTTTAAAAAAAAAACAAGTTCGGTTTCTTTTGGGTACCCCCTCATACATGTTACAAATAACTGGAGAAAGGGTCACTTTAAAACCAGAACTGAGCTCCTTTCATTACCCCCTCATTTGTAACCCACCTACAGGAGCAAGCCAATTCCTAAATCTATACACTTCAACCCTGAGGATGGAGGTAGAATGTATCTTCAGAATGGTGTTATCTGCCTATAAGAATACATTGTGTAAAAACCTAGAAGACTTCAATTTACACTACCAAAGCTGTGAAAACCTCAGCATTTCATATTTTTTTAAATGTATGGGTTCAGTTCTTATTCACGTGCTTAGATGAAACATTTCAAGGACAGCAGATTGGCAGAAGGGGTAAAGGAGACTGGATTCCTTAAGACTATTTGGCTTCAGTTTTGTGCTTATGGTAGTCATGCTTTTATACAGCGACCTGCTATCTAGCACCAAATCTAAACCTGCAAATCTATCTATGCAGACATGCGAAGACTTCCTAAGGACTCTGTTCTTTCCTGCAAACATGCCCTAAGGTACAGGGTATATAAAGAATACGTTAAAATAAGAGTAAGATATTTCAAGATTACGTTCTGAGTTATAATTCTGTGTAATCTGAGTATGAGTATGGGGGGTGAGGCATAAAAACTGGCCCTCGCACTGCGACCTTCAATGATCTATTGTGCTTCCTTTTTGGATTAACCCTTTATTAAACCTACACTTGGAATGAAATGTATTCCATGTAATTTGGAGACAGCCTGATGTTTTGGAGGAATAAATCATCTCCATCTTCAAGGTCAAAGGGAAGGTCAAGCAAGAAAACAGTAGTTGCTTAGCTTACTCTTCGACCCTGAAGATGGGGGAGACACATCCCTCCGAAATACTTGGTTCTCTACAAACTACATGGTGTTACACCCCCAAAAGAGCGTATTCTTCATGGTCAGAACCAAAGAAAACTCAAATCCAACATAATGCATTTACCTTTAACTCTATTCAATTCCAGATTTTCAGACCCCTGTGTCCTAGTGTTATTCATTAAACAAAAGTGGTTAAAATATAAAGATTTAAATGAACAAGTTTCTACAATTTAGTTCAATGTCGTTTTGATTATAATAAACATTATATAACAAATATTTTGATTTTAAACTTCATCTTCACTGCAAACAACTGAATTACTCTTGTGAATTTTAATCAGCTGTCCACTTCCATTAATAAAATCCATGAAGCAGCACTGGGGGAAAAATGACCATAATAATTATAACCTTACTCAATATGTGTGTTGTTTCAACTGTTCCAGCTTCATAATTTACAGCACTGCGCAAGGCCGATGGGACTGAAACAAAAAGTGTGCACTGAATACTATACCCCATCCTGAGCCCTGGATACTGCATTTGGACATAGCCATTTGATTTCACACAATTCTACCGAAATATGTGGCAAAAGTTGCCCTCCTCTGGTACATGTTTATGCCTAATATCAACAAAGAAAATTAATACTTTAACAGCACAGAGTCTGAGCTACTAAATCATAAATAAAGAAGGCAATGAAGTCAACCATTTCATTCTCACAGCCCACTAATCAAAATATGTAAGCCACATTTTTTTCAAAAGTTAATTTTACTTTCTTCTGAATCCAAATCCAGACATCAAACAACTTTATTACGGCTGGTGACAGACAATGATAGTGACAACTGTTTAACTGCACTACAAATGTCATGATGTGTGCGCAAATAATATATCGGAGGAATCTGGAAGGAAGCCTTATTAGATAGTACCATCTCACAATTTGCCTAGAACCACAAAAACACAATCAAGCTAGCTAGTCTCCATACCAGCTATCAGTTAACTTGGTCAAGTTGAATTAATTTGTTTTGGGGCTGTAACTAAATAGAAAATATCAGGCTGTGCTATACATAGACAAGCAATATAATATCGTCAAAAACAATGTGAAGGTGTTGAACTGTGATCATACCTTCCTTTTATCAACAAGACCCTGCTTGAGAATCAGGTTTCCTTCCACAAGATTGTGCCATTTACTACTCTCCTTCTGTTTCTCCAGTTGTTGCTGCACTTCTTCACGACTAAGGTCTGTAAGTCCAGCTCGTTTGCGGGGACGCTCCGGTGGATCAGGGGTGCGCTCTGCACCTTGCAAATCGAGGCCCAGAAGCCGAGTTAGCTGTTTATCATCCAGCCCTGGCTCTAAGTGATCCGGTACCTTGATAATATATAAAACAAAATTTAAATTGCAATTTTAATAAAATTTGCCTAAAAACATTAATAAATTGGCAAAATCTCTACAATAACAGTAAGAAGACAAAATTTCATTCATAAAGAAGCTAAGGACAGATTCAATTTTAGAATTATAACCTTCAAACAGAAAACACTGCATTATGTGTAATATCACAATAAGGTCTGCGCTACAGCTCAAGCGGTTAGTCACTGGCTTCCCACCACGGTGGCCCGGGTTTGATCCCGAGTCTGGTCAAGTGGAATTTGTGGTGAACAAAGTGACGCTGGGGCGGGTTTTCTCCAAGTACTTGGTTTCCCCTGTCAATCTTCATTCCACCAAATTCTCCATCATCATCATCTGGGGCAGGTACAATAGGCCAGTCAGTGGCCACTGTGCCGAGTGGACCCAGCTGGACTCCACTCCCCCCACTAAGCAAATTAAAATATCACAATACCCTCCCCCCAGATCATACAACACATTATGTATCATTCCTTGCCAATTTTATGTTTAAAACTGGAACGTAATAAATGTGCAAATGTATACTTCTTAGAAGGGAGGAGACTATAAGGAAATTTAGGATCAATATGTCACAAACTAGAGCTCATCCAAATAACAATTATAAAAAAATCTAAATTCTAGTTATGGCCCATTTCATCGAAGGTACATAATTAAAATCTAATATTTAAAGAGTTATTCAGAGGGTAACAAAGAGTTATACACCTATAAATACAGACTTAACCCCTTGGACCCTAGTATCGAGCACGGCTCATTACGGTGGCAAAGTGCTGTCATACACAACACTGATATAAACACCTTTCATTTCAAACTGAAACTGATGATGCAGTTAAGAGTACCTGGCAAAGGTGACAGTACCAATCAAAGCCTCGGTGCTTTTAAAAACTCTGAACAAAACACATGCTTACAATTAAATAACATTTCTAATGCTCCTGCACAAGATGTTTACATACTGAGAATCATGCCATCCATCTTAAATGTAGTTCTTAGGTTCTGTGATCAGGAAAAAAAAAATTCAAGAGGCTAAGCAAGAGTTCAAACTTCACACTACACTACTACTCATTACTGCCATATATAGAATTGGATTTGCTAGTTACATGGATCTGCTGGCTACATGAGTAAAAGAATTCTCAGAGAAACCCAACAGAAGTCAAAACAAGATGTTTTTGAATTACTTCTCCCATTGAGTCTTCCTAGGCAAAGAAGAAGACTGACTGTTAAAAAACTATTGACAGGGATACTCCAATGTGATCACAAATACATTTAGCCTCCACTGTAATGGCACCTCCATAAGGGTGGATGATTTGTAACACTGCTAGCAGTGGCGGAAAGAATTAATGCGTGGCAGGTGAATATATGCACACTGTAAATTTGTTTTTGAATAAAAATGGTAAATTACCTTTAAATTCTGTCAGCTGCATCAAAATTATGGATGCTTGGACACAGGGGAACCAGCAGTTTACTGTACTACATCAGCTGAGTAGTAACACATTAAACAAACCCGTTTGATGAAACTTACTGATAAAATTATGGGAAAAAAATAGTTCCAGTTTCATGTAACAAATGCTTTATATGAGAACATACATGGAATAAAAAAAATTAGTATTCAAACTCACCCTGTACTGACTTCGCAGTTCCTCATGCTCTGATGTGCCAGGCAGATAGGGGTAGATTTGAGGGGGTGTCTGTTCATGAAGGGTATCGAAGTTTATGCCAGTGAAGAAAGGATGTGAACGAAGAGATGGATAACCTACAGCATCAGTTGCTCCCAATCTCTTGCTTGGGTCCAGTACCTTAAAAGAAACAAAATATCAATACAATTCTCCGGTTTAAAGTTTACAAGTCAGTAACTGAGATATCAGAATCCACCTATAACACTGCATTGTGTCAACCCAGAAGAACACAATATGAACCGCTCAACTAAACCAACAAAACCATTGCAACTACTTTTATGACAGAATTTTAGTGTTATAGTTGACATAGCACATCTACACCAAAATCCAGATTTCTCATACTTTACAAACAAATTCTGCCTTCCCTCAATTACCACCAATGTAAAACTCTGGGAACAATAAAAGATATCTACCAAAAGTTGGGGGGGGGGATTCTGAGGCAAAATTAGGTATGTTTAATAAAATGTTAAAACCCCATATTAATGTTCAGAGCTAAACTTCATTTCATAATTAAGCGTATGCTTACCAAGAGCTGTGCCACGATACTTCTTGCTACAGGCGCAAAACCATCAGGAAACTCATAGTCTAGCTTCAGTATTTTCTGGAATATTATGTATTCACTCCTGTGGGGGCAAAATAAACAAATATGTAACATACATACATAACTCACTGACCAATTCTGAACAAAATGTGCAGTTCTTTTCTTGGGGTTGTGGCAGCTGAAGTTGAAGGTTTGGAACAAACTACAAAGAAAAGTGAACGTATTCCATTTTGGCAACTGCAAAGCTCTCCAAAACACTGCGAAATCTTCAACATTCTATCTCAGTACACCGAAATCATACAAAATGGGTAACTGTTCTTCATTCTTAGCAAGTGATGTACCAATAAATAACACAGTTTCTTACTGTGTGATTTGGTGAGATAAACGTCTCCTTTTGAAACAAAAGTCATTGTTGTTAATGATCTTTTTTTTTGCATTTCAGTGTCATCTTTTGCCCAATTCAGATATACATAGCTTCCACAATATATAAGACTGTGCCAATCACCAGTGTGGTGAGGGTTCAGAAATTCATGGAAACAAAAATAGTGAATGCATGCCCATGTCTATTCAAGAGATTCTTAAGCACAGACTGCACAGAAAGAAAAACAATCATTGTAATTACTGGGATTAGGTGGAAATGTGTTAAAATCACTCTTATCATAGTTTAATACTGTTCTGATTTTCATATCTGACCTTGTACAACTCAATCAGCATCTCCTAGCTTTTGATGTTTCTTGTTTCTGATTTATTTCACACGTTTTGGCCTAACTGCATATCATGGGGTGTACAAGGTTTGTTTTGGGGTCTGCTCTACTTTATTTTTGATGTAGCAGACCCAGTGTCATAAGTTTGATAACTGAATCTTTTAACTGCATAAAATTCATAAGATTAACACAACAGCAGTTCATTAAATACAAATTCCTACCTTGAACGGAATGGAGGTAAACCAGAAACCATTTGGTAAATGATACATCCAAGGGCCCACAGATCTGAACTGCGTGATGCAGACTTTTCAGCTAGGAGCTCCGGAGAAACGTACTGTGCCGTTCCCACAAAACTATTCCTCCTCTGTATATGGTTAGTGTCATCCGCATCTACAAAACATTAAAATCGCTGTATCTTGAAGCTGTCACACCAGTTATCACAATATTACACTAACAGTGGCAAGTGATAAAATTCAATATTTCTGATGCCTTTTGCAGGAATCTGGTCATATTATAAGAAATTACTGTACACAAATAAAATTAATTCTTACCTTGACTGGTGGGTTCATTAAGTATTTTTGACGATCCGAAGTCTGTAATTAGTATGTGCATATTTTCATCCAGAAGAATATTTTCTGGCTTCAAATCCCTGCAGAAATGAAGCAAAAATTCACAAACTGCCATTTATAAATTTGGTACAAAGAAATTTTCTATCCTCTTTAGTGAACTTTTTATTATGGAGGTTTACTTAATTACAATGTCCTCTTCAAGGGTTTTTAAAAAGGCCATACACAAAGTAATTTCAAATTCTAAGGCTCAAAGAATGATTTCCAGTCCTTAATGGATTATCACATTTATGGGTTACCCTTCTACGAAATGATAAATTAACTTTCTAATAATTTAATATCTTCCTTCAATCACATATTGACTATTTGCATTAGAACACTGAATCTGACCTCGTGAGGCAAGATCGTATCCCATCTGGGTAAGATCAAGGCAAACTCATAATAAATTTCAACCAACCAAGCCTGTAACTAAAATTTTTTGCCAAAACATTGTATGCAATTGTGAATCTTCAAAATATCAACTTCAAATAACTATGTTGTAGATGTCACTAGTTATACTGATCATATTTTACAGATGGTAGGACTCCTTGGATGGGCGATCATCTCATCGCAAGGCCTCTACCTAAACACAGGAAAACACACACACACCAATCATCAATGCCTTGTGTGGGATCCGAACCCATGATCTCGGCTTCCAAGCGAGCGAACACAGTACATGCCTTAGACCGCTCAGCTACCATGAGCAGTACTGAGAAATTACAGTCCACAAATTCTATTACAATGTTCATGACGATCTGATACACATCTGGTATAAAAGATTGCCAATACAACTCACCTATGAATGATGCCAAGACTATGCAAGTGTTCCAGTGCTACAAGCAGCTCGGCAGCATAGAATTTGGAGCAGGTGATGTCAAAAGAACCCACTTTAGTGATGTAAGGGAGTAGCTCCCCATTCTTGGCATATGTCAATACAAAGTCTGAAGCACATCATTAAGGAAAACACTTTTTCTTCACGCTTGTTATTTTGATACAAGAGAGACACATATAGTCAGTGGGCTGTCACAGCAGGCCTGTATTCTAAAGGCACCTGACTCGAATCTCGGACGGGACACCAGCTATCCTCCTACTTTAAGTTTTTCATGTTTTCCTCAACACTTCCAGACAAATGCTGGGATAGTACCTCACTTAGGCCGTGCCCATGCCCACTTCTTTCCAAATCCTTAATCAACAATTACAACACTATATTGTCTATATTCAGACAAGAGCATTCCAGGCTGACGCAATACAAGACAGAATATACACGTTCTGGTTACTGTTAATATGTTGGATCAACAGATAAGATGCAAAGCATCAAAACTATAATGCACTGTCATCAGAAATATTCCGAAATGATGAACTTTAGATATGCCTCTTCATTATTAATTGTTCTTTATTTTACCAATATTATGAATGGTATCGAACCAGGGTAGCATAGTCAGTATAGCGACTGCCTACGGGCTGGATGACCAAGGGGTCAGAGTATGAGTCATAGTAGGGTGAAGAATTTTCTCTTCTCCACATCGTCCAGACTGGCTCTGGGGCCTACTCAGCCTCCTATTTCATTTCATTTCCATTACCCAACAGGTACTGGGGACTCTTTCCTCACCTTCAACTAGTGCCCAGGTCAAGAAAATATGGATCTATACATCCACTCCCCCATACGCCTTCATGGTGTAGTGCTTAATTAGTTGAGCACAGGGAGAGCTTTATCTTACCTATGAATGGTATCAAGAAATAGATAGGGCCATTGTAAAGATCACCATTTTGATTTTCAGGCATCATTCTTGAAGCTACAATGCTCTCATTTGTCAGGTACTAACCCATAATGGATAACTCTTTAATAGCAAGCAAGAATAACTCTGTCTGACCATTCAGGAATACATATAGACAGACAGATGACATTTCCCACCCCCCAATTCATATTCAGAAGTACTGAAAACATGCAACTGTGTCAGAAACTCAAGATCCATTTCTTTCACCATCTAACCAGTTCCTCGCATGATTACGTACGTACATGAGGAAGTAAAAAAAAAAAAAAAAGAATCATCATTTGATATAATGCAAGGATACAAAGCCTCTCCATGTCCTGGAAGGTGCACTGAAGCTTCACAAAGAATGGAACTTTGGGATTGTGGTTCAGGCTCAATATGGTGAGCACTTCCTTCTCTCTTTTTATGTACTGCCCCTTTCTCTCCCTCAATATATGCCGCTTCTCACATACTTTAACTGTGAACAAAAGTTAATCACAGATTTTAGTTCCAACCTCCTTCACTTCACCTGTTCATAATATACAGACATTACACTCCTACAGAATACAAATTCAGAAGTGCAACATGATCTTGGATTTCAAGATAACAAAAAAAAATTAATGTACAAAGGAACAAATCTGACAGACAAAAACTGTTTACAATCTTCTCAGAAGACCAGCTGCATCAAATGTGATCAGAAATCCAATGTTTTGAGCTGGTGCAGCTGGTTGTTGCCCAAGGAGATTTATTCGCCTTCAAGTCTTACAGGAGACACCATCATAAATATTTTTTATGACTGTGCTGCATACTATTTGCATAGCTCTACCTTGAATTTCATTTATGATGACTTATCTAAACATTTCTCATATTACTAAGACCTTTTCAATCTTTTCTGATTAATCGGTGAATGAAACAGCAGTAGGTTTTCCCATCACAAGAGTTTACAAACCACCTACAAACTTTGTCTAAATAAGTTTAATGGGTATAAAAACTGATACCCTTTTTGCAGCCTTAAAATCAAAGTACTGTCAAAATCACTGACTGAAAGTTTGTGATTAAAGTTTTGCAACATGACAAACGATCTGTCAAGTATCTCCCACAATATAACAGTGATTTGAATAACACAGAAATGTTAAACACAGATCATACAACCACCGAAAGAAATTATAGGGCAAAATTATTGTAAAATAGTAACTTTATTGTCTTGTGATGGGTTGATCTCCCTCCTATGGACTGTGTAAATGTTCAAGAAACTGAAAAACGGTCAAGATCCAACAAAGGGCTATAGAGCCATAGATAGATAGATAGATAGATAGATAGATAGAAACTTTACTGTATCACAAAGAGCTAAACAGAATTTGTGACCTTAAGCTGCAGACTGTTACCAATCTGTTGGACTACTAGCTGAGAAACACTGCTTGACATGCTTATGTATTATACTGTATACATGCTTCGTGAATATTAACTCAGGCGACTTGAGGACATCACTGCAAAAATACCGTTGCATTTTCAAATAGGTGTGGGGGGGGGGATTACACCATTCGACCGGTTAGCCTAGTTGAACGTCCTTGACGAGAAGTGTCATCAGTTTAACAGAGTCCCTCTCCTACTGCACCAACTTTACCTCACAGACAGCTCTTACGGTCCCGAGTGCATGTCCACAGCCCCCCCCCCATGCAAGGATTACCGCACCCCCAACAATAAGACTCAAACACGATGTCACTGGAGCCTGCTGGAGATACATCTATGAGCCGGGATATCGTAATTGGTATAGCGACTGCCTACGGGCTGGACGACCAACAGGTCGGAGTTCGAGTCCCGGTAGGATCAAACATTTTCTCTTCTCCAAGTCGTCCAGACCGGCCCTGGGGCCCACCCAGCCTCCTATCCAGTCCAATGGGTACCAAGGGCTCTTTCCCCGGGGGTAAAGGTACAGGGGCGTGAAGCTGACCATTCACCTCCAGCCGCTTTTTCACTTTCTTAATCCTATACACAGTCGACAGAACTCCTTGGACGGGGGATCAGCCCGTCACAAGGTCGCTACCTACACACAGAAAGAAAAAAGGAAACAGAATAAACCCACCCAGACAGCCATGCCTCTAGTGGGATTCGAACCCGTGATCAAGCGGGCGAAGACGGGTTATGCCTTAGACCGCGCGGCCACTGTAATCGGTGAATACCGCTGACTTACTTGCGCACTCCTTGCTATTGTGGATATCCTTCGCCAGGTACACAGTGGAGAAGCTTCCCTCGCCTATCACTTTGCCGAATATATAATCTCTGTGTGTACGTTTGGGCGTTAGGGCCGTACTGTGATGGTTGGTCTGCTGCTCCGTGCTATTGTGATGGTTCGTAAGTTGCGTCTTATTGTGACCCTGATGCCAGTTGTTTGGGGTGTTCTCGTGAAGAGGCGTGTTTGTAACACCACGCTGAGGTGTCATCTTAACGGTCAGTACTGCCTGTTCAGTTGCCATTAGATGCTGCTGTGGCGGCGGTAATGCTGCCTGAACTCTCTGCAACATGGAGAAAGCAGATACAATGAGACAATCCACTTCATACGAGCTGTATTTCATAAAAGGGCAGCCATTCACAAACATAAAATGCGAAATGTGGTCCAAACACACGCAATGAAACTGTCTCCAACTGATTCTCCAATGTTGGCCCCACATTCCTCAGGTCGGCATACACGGATACCGTTTCTTAAAAACCCTTTCCCATTCTTCATGCACAATTCTAACTATTACTTTTCTTGTAGTCTTGTATTGGTGTGACTTGGTCTCTGGCATTAAGGGAAGAGCACAGACTGAAGAGTGTTGGACTGCTGAGGGATGAAATAATAGGTTACTGAAAACTGCATGATGATCAGACTCATTCGTACTGTTCGCAAATGATCAAATCAAGGACGATGAATTGGACAGGTCATGTAGCATGCATGGTGAAGATGACTACATACAGGAAAGCCAGAAAGATGGAAGACCTATATATACGTGGGAAGATAACATTACGATGGACGTTAAAGAGAAATAGGATAGGGTGGTGTGGACTGGATTAATCTGGCTCAGGACATGCACCTGTCGCAGCTCTTGGGAACACGGAAATGGGCCTCGGGTTCCACAGAAATGTTGGAATTTCTTCATGAAGTTAGTTGTCTAGTTGGTTAATGTTGTCACGTGCTTCAATTGCTAAGACGCGGGTTTGGATTCGTGAATAGGTTTATTGGATCTTCACTACTCGTAACTACAATTAGTGCTTACCCTCTCAAGATTACTGTAACTACAGCACATGTAACGTCACACACTAAGTCTTCTAATTCTTCTTCTGGCCTCACTGCTGTTCCCTTGGAACTTCGGAACTCAAGTGAAATCAATTCTCCAGGTCAAAGTCAAAGTCATATTGCGACAGACTGTCGGTCAGTCAATCGGTCAGTTACATGTGCTGTAGTTACAGTAATCTTGAGTAAGCATTAATTGTGGTCACGAGTAGTGCATTCCCGTATTCTCTCATATCCTCTCGGCACGGTTCATGCACAGAAAACACAGCCCCTCTATTGTTGCATGGCGCAGACCACACAGAAAACAAATCACGTGATAACTATCTCGCCATTCCATTGGATCGCTGATTCTTGCCTAGAAATGAGCTATAAACATTCGTCCTATTGTTGCGTAACCTTAAGCGCGGTGCTTATTGTGGCGTAGGTCTTCACCGGTGGTGCGGTAGCGGCTCCCAACAAGGGATTTTCCTCTGCTTCCGTGCTCGCGTCCTCAAAGTCAACATTACTTTACGGCTGGCGGTTTACAGGCAATCATTTCGTCCTGACGTTAAGCCGCTTGATACCAGCGGCCATAGTGCTTCTGGAACATCCTCCACGGCGAGACGACGTGTTCTCTCTTATGAATATGCTTGGCCTTTCGTCAGTTGTACGTATCGCACATACAGCACGTTACTTAAAATTCTTCCTTTGCACTATACAAGCTCTATGTCAGTCCAGGCTTTGCAAAGCGTATTATGCCTACCTTAACGTATCTTGTCTTACGGACCGCAGAGAAAATACAGCTTCCAAGAGTTCTTCTATTGCTGAGTGCGCATCCGTTGCCGCGGCAGCGTGTTTACCGAGCTGTTGCCTAGCAATGGTTTTTTACGGTCTCCGCTACTGCCACTTTCAGCCGCCATGTCACACAGTATGTAAATTCATAGGATGGGTGAATCATTTGGGGCAGAGTGGGGGAAATATGGAAGGGAAAATAAAACGAAAAGACACTTATAAGGACGATCTAATGCAGCACACCTGATAACTAAATACACACGACCGGGCTCGATTCTCGATAGTGATTACAATTCTGCTTCAGTTGTTTGTTCGCACGGGAAGACGATGACCCGCAATGTAATGCTTATACAATCACGTGACCCCGGTCTACAGCAAACAGCGTCAACAGCGACGAAGTGCGCGGAAGTCCGCGTGACTAATAAAAACATTTTATTGCATCACGTCGAAACTTCGTGTCGCAACTTCTCACAGATCTCAAGGAAAACTGTGCCGTCCTCACCGGTTTGCGTGCTTCTCAACTATTATCGATTATAATCCAACACATGAAACGTATAAATAAAAAATTCGAAGTGACAACGCTAATCGGGTTAACAGTTTAATTATCAATAACACGCTGGACCGATCTAATTGGAGGATGACAGATCATGTCAACAGATGGCGAAATTGACAAACAAAAAACCTTCAATGTGTTCGTATTTGTTTGTAATTACTGCAATTAGCTTCCTGAAACATAACCGAGACATCAGATTCGACCTTAGGAGTGCTAATCACTTAGGACAATCCCGACCTTAGGGAAGAGGATGGCTCATTACCGCATTCACAACAGCAAGCCATGGCCCAATAAATCTATTCCTCACTCTCACAATCTATTTCAGTAATATTCTTGTTAATACTGTTTTATTCTGAGTAACCAAGTTCGAGGCTGCAACATTTCGACACAAGCTGGTTTACTGCAGTAGAAAAGTTAAATCTTCCCCCTTGTCGGCTGTCCGCGACAGCAGGTGTCTCCCATCTTGGAGGCAGTCAGCTGCGGTGAATAGTGGGATCCACAAAATGGAGGGGAAACTGACTCGGAATAAAGTTCGAACGGCCCAATTCGTCGATCGGAGATCTGAAGAAGTTACACGCCTTGCATGTGTATAGATGAGCGCCGGGTATCAAACCCCCGGCCACCCGGCCCGTAGCCGGTCATTATATTGACTGCAACGCCTCCGTTCTCCCTTGATTTGGAACAAGGTTCCACATACTCGTATTCGGTGACGAAAGCTGTGACGGTTTAGCTCCACACACACAAGTTCGCCAAATTAAAGTCTAAAGATCAAAATTTTACGAACAAGTGAACCCAGTTTATGCACTCAAGACAAGCAATTACACTGCGTAACACATGGAGTTTTCATTCAAACCTATCGATGCCTCTCCACAGTTCGTGAAAACAGTTCGTACAGACTGATACAGCAAATTACCCTCCAGGATGAGGAAATACCTCCATGCAGCAGGGCCCTCAACTGTCGCGCACACAATAGCATTCGCCGCTCAAGAAATATCTCGCTATTTTAGAGAACCCGAAGGTAAAGCTGTGTCCACAAGAGCCCGCCACCGGTTCCTATCTTGAGCTAACTAAACCCAGTACAACCCCCCCCCCCCATCATATTTCGTAACAATCTATTTTAATATTTTCTACTTATCTATGCCGAGGTCTTGCAAATGGCCCATTTCTCTTGACATTCCCAAACACGATCTAATCCCGCATACAAAATCGCAAAAATACAAATTTAACATCAACCTTTTTAAAATAAATTATTGAAATGGCTGGATTCGCTGACGATAGGCGGCGTTGTTTCTCTCACCGCAGGAAATATTAGTGTTTCTCAGCTACAGCACACCTATTTAAAGAGACCCAGGCCTCCAACAGCCTCCAAAATTAAAATCCGTTTCATTCATGTATACCTGTGGTTCACAAACTCAGGGCCTGATGAGGTTGGGGTGGAGGCTATACCAGAAAACGAAGCTTCTTTAATGTCAACTTCAGTTGAAATAATTAATTTCAGCTTCGTTCCCACTAACTCCGTTGCGCAGACCAAGCTACACCCTCTATCTGCTAAAGTTGGCACTAACTTCGCCGACTTCGCGGTGGTCGTTCGGTCGGTATACTTCGCTTGCGGACTACAGGCCACGGAGTTTCTTTTTGTTTGTTCGTTCCCATTACCATATCACAACCGTTCGTCAATATATTACAAAATATATTAAGGGAAGAGAATTCAACATTTCTCGGCATTACTGATCCCCAAAATAGGGACACCGTGCAATAGTTTCATCCTAAAATTTTGAACTGTATTCTCTGCTTTGGTGTAGAATTATGAATCAAACGTTCACAAATACCAATACCAATTCGAGTGTGAACGGTTAAACTCTTATCAATAAAAATTGGGGATATGGAGATTTGATGGGGGGAAGAGGAGGGCGTAATAATTTCTGACACGAATGACATACAGCACAAACCTCACATCAATTGTTTTTGTTCCCCAATATGATCAATCAAAGAAAAAACTCCGTGACCTTTAGTCCGCAAGCGAACTATACCGACCGAGCGACCGCCGCTTGTCGGCGAAGTTAGTGCAAACTTTTGCGGATAGACGAGGCCGCGTTGTCAGCGCAACGAATCCCCAAGGCCGTTAATTTCGCTTTTCTAGACCGGAACTGCTATTCCCTTGAAATGACTCTTCAATTATCCTCACAAGGCTGAGTGAACCCAGTTCCAGACCCACTACTTCTCAGAAAACTGGTAGCATCTGGAATCGAACCCGGGACCTCTGGATCTGTAGCCAGGAACTCTGACCACTAGAGCACAGAGGCGGTCATATGAACAATTAAGCTTCCGAATTTCGTATAATTTCTCAAAATGATGTTCAACATACGCCCCTCCAGTCCATTTTGGTTACGCCAGTTGCTGTGGCTAGTTTCCAGGCGGGTCATAACCGTGAATCATAGATGGGTTCGTCCAAAACAGACTAGTAACAAAGTCAAACCCGCCTAAATACATGACAAATATTACAAGCAGAACACGGTCCAAAGTTCCCATACAAAACATTTCCGCCTGTCACACTGATCCTATTCGATAAACTCCACACAAGAGGTGCACCGTGCAAGGCAATCCATGACGTCACTTCCACCGGCACCGAACTATCACTGTTTATACTCAGCAGCATGGAACTCTGCAACAGCTAAAACAGAATAGATCAAGTGACACATGTAGAAACAGAATCATATATCGCAATGCAGTCACGTGGTAAAACGGAACATCCATACACCTTACTCATGGCGCCGAGCCGTTCTTGTGGAACCACGAATTCTGCAGCTACTCAAGATTTTCCCAGCATTTTATGGAACCCGAAGGCTCATTACCGTGTTCACAAAGAGCCCTCCAATGGTCCCTATCATGAGCCAGATCAATCCAATCAATCCTATCCC